CAATGAGGACCCAATGATGAGTGAGTCAGGGCCCAGCTTGGAAGGGCAGTCTATCAGCCAGAAGGAAACAGAGAAACAGAGGAGGCTCCTTAATCCAACCCAGGGTATCCGGGAGGGCTTCCTGGAGGAGGAGTTCTGCCGAGAGCAGATTGATTACGTCTCTGCCTCGCCGTGATCCTTCAGCAGCTGCTCACTGCTGCCACAGCGCCCCAAGGTGTCTGCTGTGTGCACAGGCCCCAGCTCCCTCACGTGGCCCACCCCCTGCTCCTGCTCCCAACCCCACCTTTATCCTCCCGGCCCTGTGGTCTGCAGGCCTCCTCACATCATCGCCTCACCCCTGTGCGGACTGTGCGCCATCCCCTGGGCCAGGGATGCTCACTCCGTGCTCCGTAGGGTCCCAGGAGCACAGCTTTCATGCCAGTCTGCTTGGCATCTGTGGCCTCCTTCAGGGCAGGAATCTGCCCTCGCTCAGCCACTGCTCGGCTGTGCCCTGACTGGCACTTGTTTGTGAGTGGATGCGCACGGAGGGGGTTCCCAGCACCTCATCTGGTTGGGACAGAAGGGCAGGAGGGGTGGGCGGGGCCGCCTGGATGGAGGGCCTGAGTTGAGGCTGAGAGGTGAGCCACGTGGAGGGAGGTGAGCAGCCAGGAGGCAGGGCAGCTGCAGGGGCAGGAGGACTGTCCTGGGACATTGGGGCCCGTGGCTGAGACCCAGGACTTGGCTGGGATGCCCTGCCTGTCACAGTTTTCTGCTGACTGTGCTCAGCCCCACAGAATTCAGGGATGGACTGAGGCCCAGAAGGCTCTGGAGACCTTCAGGGAGGGCTCTGGAGGTGACCTGGGGCCACAAAGAGCAAAGACCCTCTAGGCTCCACCTGAGCCACAGGACACAGTGTGCTCCTCCCCCCGCCCCCACCCCCTGGGCCCATGTGAGAGACTCCTGTGGAGCCCAGCTGGCCGGGTTCAACCCCCTGATTCGGGTGTGGGACCCTGAGAGGGTTATGTGCTTCCCCTGAAATGAGGGTGATGGTCCCCGGAGGCAGCCCTGCCCTGTCCTTCCCTCTCCCCTTCCCCTTCCCCTTGCCTTGCCCTTGCCTTCCCCTTCCCCTTCCCCTTCCCCTTCCCCTTCCCCTTCCCCTTCCCCTTCCCTTTCCCCTTCTCTGCTTTGCTGTTCTCTTTCCTTTGCTTTCTGTCTCGAGACTGTACAGCTCAGGCAGCCGTGGCTCCCCCAGCCTTCGTGCCCTCAGAGGAAGCAAGGACAGCAGAGCCGGACGGGTGGCCTGCTCATCTGAGGTTTGGCACCTGCGGTCTCTTTAATGAGACCGGAGGAGCATTGAGGAAGAGCAACTCCAGGTGGATTTTGGGTTGTGCACAGGGAGCCTGTGGTGTCTGCGAGTTGAAGCCGGGTCAGAGGAAGGGTCTGTGCAAACCCAGCAGCCACGGGAGCGGGAGCGCTGCGGAGCCCAGGCCTGCTTCAGGGCGGCCAGCCTCCTGCTCTGGGCCTCCGGCGCCTCCAGGCCACAGCTGCCACATCTGGGCTTCGTGTGCCTCATCTGCAAATGGCAGAGAGAAGGGAACTGTCTTGGGGAGTCCTCTCTTATGTCAGGGGCTTATACCCCATCTTCAGATGAGAAAAGTGAGGCCGGGGTCAAGCTGTGTGAAGCATAACTGTGCTGCCCCCTCCCACTGGCACTCCAGTTCCCTTTCCGCGCTCTCCAGCGGGATCTGGCTGGTGACCTGGCCCAAGGCCTCCAGCGCAGCCCCGCAGTGGCTGCAGGAGTGTGCCCGTGCGTCCCACCGGGTGGTGGGTATTCCATTCTCAGGCGGGGTGGCAGGGTGATCCTGGACCAACAGAGAGCACGGGACTTTAGAGGAGGGGCCCTGGTGGTAAGTCTTCAGGATAAGCAAGAGCTCTCCACGGACAGGAGGCTTCTCGCAGAAGGGCAGCCGGTGAAAGCGCAGAGCGGCAGGCGGCGCTCAACTGGGGCCGGTGAGGCTGTGCCCTGAAACCCTTGTCCTCTGTCCCATTCCTGCTTCGCCAACCCGAGTTCCAGGGGCGCCCTGGGAAGGACCTGCCACCTATGTCATGGACTCTTCGGATTCAGATGACTTACTTAGCTCAGATGAGATCAGGATGGAGAAGGTGTTTTCTTACTGAGGTGACTGAATCGTCTAGAAGAAAAGAGGTGCTTTAGGCACAGCTGGATTCAAGGGCTCAGAACTGTCTTTAGGGCTTGCTCCCAGTCTGACCCCCTTCTGGGCGCTTCCATCTCACAGGTCCCCTCCACCCGGGGGGCCTCTCTGAGCCCACAAGGACCAATTCCGGAAGAGGCCCCTGTTTCTTCATATTGTCCCTGAAGTCCCAGAGTTGAGTCTCACTGACCTGAACTGGATCACTTGCCCTGCCCATGACCAATCACTGCTGACAGGAAGAAGGAATATGCCAATTAATCAGGCATGGGTCACAGGTCCATCCTGGAGCCAGCCCTGGGCAATCGCATGCAGGTGATTCCCCAAAGGAAAACCCAGGTGCTGCCAGTAGCTGAGGAGCCAAGGTCAGGGGAGGCGGGTCAGCCGCACAGCAGTGTCCACCGCACACGAGCCGCTCAGACTCCCTTCCGGTTGTGGGCGAGGTTTTCAGGCAGGTGTCAGGATCACCAATGACCCTGGCCTTCTCTTCAGGGCAACCCTGTCTTCCCTGCCAGGCCATTGGGAGCCCACGGCAGTGCCTCGCTCCTAGTGCGGACTCAGCTAGGAGGCGACGAATGCCTCTTCTAGACACCTGGGGTCCTTCCTCTAGCTGAGAATGTGGGAATTTGTGAAATACAAAGGTAGAAGCCATTCTGCAATATTTAAGTTCCAAGGTGAGAATGGCCAGGCCTCAGTTGACAAACACTCCGGGCCACCTTTCCCTATTTTTGTTCAGATACATATGGAACAACACCCGAGCGCCGTGCACACCGCTGCCCCACTGCCCCACGCTGCAACCACACAGCCCGATTCTTCCCAAATAGGGCGCGCAGAGTGCGGCCCCCCTGTGGGCGGGCCCAACAGGGGTACACAGCACGGGATCTAGATGTCAGGGACAGGGACGGCGCTGCGAGGGTCAGATTCCAAGGGAGATGGGCCAAGGCCTCGCTGCGCCTTCCGCTCACTCTCCGGAGCAGGGAGCAGGCCTGCTGGTTGCCTTCCTCTGCTGGCTGCCCTTCCAAGGGGCCACTGGGCCTCCCCAACTGACTCTTGCAAGAGGCTCCTTCCTGTGGGGAAGCACTTGCAGAAGGTGCTCTGCAGGACTGAGGTGGGAGGGGCTGCAGAGAGGGGGCTGGAAACCAGCTGTTTTTTTTGCGGGGGGGGGGGGGGCGGGGGATGGTGGTAGAGTATCAGGTCGTCTGGCAACAGCACGTCCCAATGGACATGAGGAAGAAGCAGAGACTCTAGACTCAGCCATAGTGCCTTCGTGCACCTCAGCCAAAGGAGGCAGCCTCTGGCAGGCATAGCCTCAGGTGGGTGCCTGGCGAGAGCTCCTGGGTTCAGGGCCCGACCTGGGCACATGCAGACACTGCGTGGGCGAGGCCACCCTGGAACCTGAGCCGCCCCCTGGGGAGAGGCAGCCCCTGCTCTGCTCCAGGCAGCAGCAAGGGCAGTGCTCACCTCGGAGCCCCCTGCTCCTGGCTCAGCCGGACAGTGCAAGGAGCGCCAGCCGCCAAGGCAGACTTGGTCAGCACTGCCTACGCGCACTGTGCCTACTAGCACAGCTCCGTGCGTCTGCCGGCTGGCTCCGTCCTGCCTGCCCCCAGGGAGACCAGCCTTGGGGCAGCCAGCTCCTGCTCAGCAGCAGGGAACTCCCCTGGTTTGAGAGCCTGTCCTCTGAATGCTGGCTCCCTCTTCCTGTTTGCAGAGAACCCAGAACTTCCAAGTGCAGTGGCTCTAGTTTCTTCCCGTGTCTCTCTCAGATCTGACCGTGGGAGCACTGAGAGCCCTGGCTGTGCTTGCAGGCCAGCCCCGCGAGGGCCCTCCACCCTCCTCCATCCTCCGTCCACTGGGGAGCCTGGGAAAATCAGCACTTGGACTTGCAGGGGGCCTAGGGCCCAGGAGGCAGGGGTGGGGTCGGCAAGCCAGCGAGCTCAGGATGGACCTCACACAGCGGATCCTTAGAGCTCAGGGCAGAGATGGAGTGCAGGGGGCGGGCTGCCTGGAGGATTTCCCTCCCCCAGAAGGGACAGGCCACCTGCAGCAGCTGGCCAGCAGGGATTCCTGGGGCGGGGTGGGGCCTGCCTGAGTGCCTGCAGCTGTCAGAGCAGTGGCCGGGGCGGGTGCTCACTCAGTCCCTGACCCTGGGCCGGAGGCAGGACAGCCTGGAGAGCCTGTTTGGGCAGAGGATGTAGGGGTGCCTTGGGGCTTGTGGTGGACACAGGATGGAGCATGGGGGTGGGGCGAGGAATAGGGGTTGAACTGAGCCCAGGCCATGGGCTCCCTGCTAGAGAGGGCCAGGAGCTGAGAGGTCAGGGTTACTGGCGGGCGAGGTTGAGGAAGGGTGCTGGGTGCCAGGCCTTTCGACACTAGACATTCCTCCTCCTCTTCCTTCCCGGCTCCGGCCTGCAGGCTGAGCTGGGCGCACCCTCCGGGTGTCCCTGTGTGCAAGTTTCCTTGCGTTTCTCTCTGTGTTCCTGGCTCTCTGGCTCTTTTCACCTCACTCACGCTGACCTGTGTCCTTTCTTCTTTCTCTGTCCCAGTTCCATCCTGGCTGCACCAACGGACCCTCTCTCCCGGCCTGGGTGTTGCGGGGCTCTGGCAATCCATCAAGACTCCAAGACAGTCGGAGGCAGCCAGGGCCGCCTCTGTGCCCCTGAGGGTGGTGGCCCAGCGGAGCGGTCCCTGCAGCAGGCCTTCCCGACGAGCGGGAGGGGGTGGCCGAGGACAGGCTCTGGCCCCCCAGCCCTGCCCGGCCTGCTCACACCAGCGGTTCTGCTTTAACAGACTCGGGGTTTTCTTTCTTTGCAGATGTTGGAGGAGCTCAAGTGTTGGCAACGGGCAAGTCCACTGGGGCCGAAACTGGTAGGTGCCTGCCCAGCTGATTCTGCCCGGGAGACGAGGCGGGTGGGGCAGCGGTTGGCCTCTCACAGCTGTCACACAGAGGAAGGGCACTCCCCGCAGGCCTGCCTGCGTGGCGAGTACGGCTTTCTCCTGGACATTGTCCTGCCCAAGGGCCTGTCCTAAGGGAATGTGAGTCCTCGGGCCACCTTTGTCCACACTCTGATGTGCAGCTCCAGCACCTACTGGCCTGCCCACAGCCTCGTCCCAACAGCAGGCTCGGCCCTGCTCTGTGCCCAGGCCCCTCCCTCCAGCACGATCAGCTCTTCTCCAACTGGGAGTTCAATGGCAGGCACAGTGACCTCCTGCGGGAGAGCAGCCTCCCTGGTCAGCCCGGCCCGTCACCGGGCACTAGAGGGAGCCCTGTGCTCCCCAGCGGCCAGCAGGTTCCCCGGGAGCCAGGCCTCATTCCTTTGCCTTCAGCGCTCACAGAGCAGGCAATTAAAGGAACTAATAGAAATGTAGTGAGGAAGGCCTACAGGAGGCCAGAGAAAGGAACCGCTGGTCCCTTGGAAGAGGTTCCACAGCCCAGGGGACCCGGGCGGAGTTCCGAGAGGAGGGTCTGGGTAAAGGAGCCGGAGCCGATGTGCCCACTGGAGAGTGGACGTTAGGTCGGCCTCAGTGGGTCACACGCATGACGTGGGCTTCGTCCAGAATGTGGAGGTGGCCTGGAAGCCCTTGGCAGGTGGTGGCCCCTCAGAGCCATCGTTCAATGTCTCCTCGCCCTTCAGACATCAAATACGCCCTCATCGGGACGGCGCTGGGCGTGGCCATCTCGGCAGGCTTCCTGGCCCTGAAGATCTGCATGATCAGGAAGCACTTGTTCGATTTTGATTCCTCAGACCTGCGGAGCGCAAACGTGGGAGTCAGCGGTAAGGACACGGGGCGCTAGGCCGGCTCTGTCCCCGACAAGGACATGTTCCCGGCAGCCACCCCACAAGGCACCCAGGGCCACTGCAGAGCCCTTGGTAGAGGAAAACTAAAAGCCACGGCTGCAAAGAAATATAGTGACCCCCGCCCTGTCCGTCTTTCTGTCTGTCTCTGTGCTTTGCTCCTTAGTGGCTTCCGATGTCCTAAGAATCAGGTTCCTGGAGGAAGGTGGGAAAGATGGACTCGATCCCGGGGGTAGTGAGGCTGGCGGGCGGAAGGGGCTGCCAGCACTGACTGTGTGGCCAGTTGCATTTTTTCAAAAACAGGGAGTCCTCAATCCAGGAGGCACCTGCAGGGCACAGCGCACGCAGACGCTGGGCTGTCAGTTTGTGCGTGGCTTTTTTAAAAGATTTTTTATTGATTTTTTTAGAGAGAGAGGGAGAGAGAAATGTCCCTGTGAGAGAGAACACTGCTCGCCTGCCTCCTGCACTCCACCTACCAGGGATGGAGGCCGAGGCCCGGGCACGTGCCCTGACCGGGATCGACTGGCAAACTTGGTGCACGGGACACAGCGAGCCACACCAGCCACGCAGTTTGTGACTTTTGATGGCAAAATGCAACAGTGATGGACACCCTTTTGTCTCAAGGCGGGGCCTGCAAAAGCCACCCCCATGTGAGGGGTAATGGCATGATGATGGATGATGCAGTTTTCCATGAGGCTTTCCTGAGGGCGAGGAAGGAGATGCCTCAGCGTGTCTCCAGAAAATGCAATGGTCATCTGTGAAGATATACAGAAGGCATGGGGGCGGGTGTCTGGGCCAGGAAGAGGGGGAGCAGCAGCTCTCGGGGCCTTCCTGGGATGCTAGCGTGTCTAATTGCACAAGGAACTCAATTTGCCATAGGAGTTTGTTAACCATTGATTTTGTATCCCTGCGAACAAGGAGGGAGGGAGCGCTACAGCCTCTTCATCACAGAGCAGGCGCATGTCAGACCTCTGAGGGCAGAAGCTCCAGGGGCTGCAGGTGGAGAAGAGGGGAGGGCGGGCTGCTTAGGGAAGGCTCGGCCTCTCCCGCCTGCTAAGCTACGCGTTGTCATGGGCAGGAGCTGGATAGAGAGGCTCTGGCAGTGCCAAGGGCGGGGGGGGCGAGCCCTCAAGACCACTGCCCCACTGCCCCAGTGCCACCCCCGCCCCCCAGGGAGCCTCTCAACCCTGCCCGAGTCCAGTTGGCTCTGTCTCCCCACCCCCCCACCCCCCCACCCCCCGTTACCTGGCACTGAGCGAGCTGTACACCGACCATAGCGCCTCCTTCCTAACGCCCTGCTCTCTCTGTTTAGATACCATCACGTCAAAGAAGAGAGCCCCACGGTAAGGCTGCTGCTGGGGGACCATGTCCTTCCTGCTTCGTCTGTTCTGCTCCCGGCCTGGCAGCCCCGCCCTTTTCCGAAACACTTCCCACGGCCCCTCCTCCCGCTCTGCTCCTCTGGCCGTGGGCAGGTGTCATGAGAGGGTGTAGCAGCCAAGTGGGCTTGGGCTCGCCCTGGGCACTGGGCACGTGCTGCAGACCACGTGGCCACTCGGGCCTGTGTCCGGGCGATGGAGTGAACGCTCAGACCGAGAGTCAGCAGAGTGATCTCCCCTCCGCCCGTGGCTGAGCCATGCTCCCTGGCCAGCCGGACGCCACACCCCGAGAGGGACTCTCTGAGTTCAGGAAACTTAGTTCTGGAAACTCCAGGGCCCCTGGAAGTCTCCAGAGCTGGTCGCAGGCTCTGCTTCAGGGACTTCTTAGAACTGGAATTCACAAGAATGTCAGGTTTCACCCCACCCACTGCTTACCCTGGCAGTGTGTCTGCACGC